ACAATAGGCAACAACCTACAATCCTACAATTAACTTAATGAATGAATGAATGAATGAATGAAGACCTTTATTGTACACTCCCACAAGTACAGGTCACAAAAAGGATGGAATATAGATAAAGTTACATAATACATCGTCAAGTAGCTACAATCAAGTAAATTCGGTTTCTTCTCGTTTCTTAGTAATGGCAAAACGGTAAGAACAGATATGTTTCAATACAGAAGATTTGTCTAAGTTCATTAGAAATATAAATTTATCTGTACACCTTAGATGTATAAAGAAGGGGAACATAGATTGTATCAGATTATAAAGATCTACTCTCTCTTTGTGGTATAGTTTACATTCTGTTACAAAATGTTTCTCATCTTCGATTCTTCCTAGATCACGACATATTCGTTGTTCTAGGGGAGTGCGGTTATGTCTACCGGTTTCGATGTGTAATTTGTGGCAACTAATTCGGAGTTTTGAGATTTAACAAACTGATCATGATCTGAAGACGTGTAGCACACAGTGCACGGCTGGGTACCGCAGGTAAATAGATTTTTACGCTCTCCTGGAGGAAATTGTTGCAGGGTTAGTGGTCTCATCACCGGGTTATCGACCCACTTGCGACTGAAGAACGCCCACACGGACAGGCTGTATCTATTAGAGTGGAGACGATTCGACAGTTTGTGGTGATTTTCTTCTATGCAATTTAGTCGTCACATACTCTACTCGGCAACGCCAATAAATAAAACTGTCGATCGATGGACAACTTTTGCATGATCATACATTTAAAACATTTTGCTTCTACTTGGGAATTTCTATTTAGATATAGTGAACAGAAATTGTGGTAGAATGTAGATAGTACAACGATAAGAGAATTGAACTTTATTAGACATAATAACATCGATGATTCCTCTACTTTATGCACATAAGTAATACAGACAAATTCAGATTTCTAATTGACCCTATTGACAAACCTTTGATCCTTAAACATGTTTGCTCTTATCTTTTCACCCCCATAGAGAAGCAAGGAGAAGTCGAATTTACCATACAGGCTATTGTGCTAGTGCTAGCGTGACCATGTATACATGTAAATACAAACTGTACATTTGTATGTAATACTATATAAAGTAAAAATCTTCATTCTTTCCTGTACTGCTGCTATGTTGACCATTGTTTGCGTAAGGATAAATAATCCATTTATTCATCCTTTCGTTCATTGTATATATAAGCCATTCCTTTGTACTTAACCCTATCTAGACCGGGCTTTTTTGAGCAAGATTTGACCGGGGGGGGCTCTTTTG